GACAAGTGTCGATGGGCTAACAAAAGCAGCTATATGAGGTGTTAAATGAAGACATGTTTGGTAAGAAGAGAACAATGCATAATATGATTACCAACAAAACAAATTGACAGGAAATAGGACAGCGAGGCAGAAAAGGACAAATTGGGGCTGGACTTAGAAAGAGAGGGACACCACTCGTATGTTTGTTGGCGAGACAACGTCAAGACGTTGTTTCCCTTGAAAATACATATACGCATTGTTTTTGTTCATTTCATTATGTCATACATACATTATATATACATACATACTTCTAAATTATTCACAACATTAAGTTACAATGTCGCATATATTTTTTTCTAATGATACACAAAAGAAATTTTATTTACAGAACTTATATGTGTGCCGAGCATTCATTTCTCCTTCCCACTCCCTTTTTTAACCATTGCACTTCACACGCTCCGTTTCTCTCTCTCTCTCTCTCTCTCTCTCTCTCTCTCTGTGACACTTTTTAAAAGTACAATTTTCCGATACCCTGCCCTTAGACAGTGTCACAGTGAAAGGTCACCCAAGGGTCGTGTAAATATAATAAAATATTCGCTGCATGTTTTCCTTCTCTCACTCCCTCCCCCTCTCTTCCCTTCCTTTCTCGCCCTCTCTAACTGTTGGACCAGGCAAGTTTCCACCCACCGTTCGCTTCGGAATTTTTGAAACAGGTCCCATGATTATCACGTTACAGGGTCACTTGACAGCCGGTGCAAAGGCAGACCATGCTCTTAGTTTGCAGTGGCAGATATTTTTTTTTTTTTTTAAATGTTTATTTGTTGAAACATATTTGTACAAATCTCTTGTGAAACAAAAGCAAAATCAATAAAATGATGTGAATAAAATGATGATGATTTGTACCGTTTCTCACTGACATTTAACAGAAAATAGAGACGGAGGGAGGCAGAGAGGACCGGGCGGTTAAAGGAAAGCTGGGGCTGTTGGGTCTGTCAGCGGAAACGGTACATTTCGATGATAATGTACATGTATTTATTCAACGTGGCAAATGATTTTTTTTTTTTTTTTTTTTTAAATGTTTATTTGTTGAAACATATTTGTACAAATCTCTTGTGAAACAAAAGCAAAATCAATAAAATGATGTGAATAAAATGATGATGATTTGTACCGTTTCTCACTGACATTTAACAGAAAATAGAGACGGAGGGAGGCAGAGAGGACTGGGCGGTTAAAGGAAAGCTGGGGCTGTTAGGTCTGTCAGCGGAAACGGTACATTTCGATGATAATGTACATGTATTTATTCAACGTGGCAAATGATGTTTCCATTAGACTCCATGTCGCCAAGCATCTTTGATTGTAGGGAGAGGAGATGACAGAAAAGGATGTGGGGGCGATAGGGGGGTGGGCCACCGCTCATTGATGCTGGTGACAAGTGTCGATGGGCTAACAAAAGCAGCTATATGAGGTGTTAAATGAAGACATGTTTGGTAAGAAGAGAACAATGCATAATATGATTACCAACAAAACAAATTGACAGGAAATAGGACAGCGAGGCAGAAAAGGACAAATTGGGGCTGGACTTAGAAAGAGAGGGACACCACTCGTATGTTTGTTGGCGAGACAACGTCAAGACGTTGTTTCCCTTGAAAATACATATACGCATTGTTTTTGTTCATTTCATTATGTCATACATACATTATATATACATACATACTTCTAAATTATTCACGACATTAAGTTACAATGTCGCATATATTTTTTTCTAATGATACACAAAAGAAATTTTATTTACAGAACTTATATGTGTGCCGAGCATTCATTTCTCCTTCCCACTCCCTTTTTTAACCATTGCACTTCACACGCTCCGTTTCTCTCTCTCTCTCTCTCTCTCTCTCTCTCTCTCTCTCTGTGTGACACTTTTTAAAAGTACAATTTTCCGATACCCTGCCCTTAGACAGTGTCACAGTGAAAGGTCACCCAAGGGTCGTGTAAATATAATAAAATATTCGCTGCATGTTTTCCTTCTCTCACTCCCTCCCCCTCTCTTCCCTTCCTTTCTCGCCCTCTCTAACTGTTGGACCAGGCAAGTTTCCAACCACCGTTCGCTTCGGAATTTTTGAAACAGGTCCCATGATTATCACGTTACAGGGTCACTTGACAGCCGGTGCAAAGGCAGACCATGCTCTTAGTTTGCAGTGGCAGATTTATGTACATTTAGTGAAAGCCATGGGAAATGGCATCGGGGGTATTACCGGAAGTAATTAAACAGAAAGGGAAAACATTCCGGCTGGAAGGATTTAGACGTGGACATACTATTGATTTTAAATACGGAATGTTGCTAGGGTCAGCAATTCAAAACTGTGTTCCGTATCGTCTCACTGGGATAAGACAGTGTGTAAAACCAATCACAATGATAAATTCACATAGACTACTGCGTGAGCAAACGACTTCCTTATACTCTGAATCCCCCCCCCCCTTCCCACCCACACACACACACGTCTATATACAGAGCATATATTTATGTATACATATATGTAATAAGACACATCATATCGGTTTCATTGATTTTTCAGTGTGCGGTTTGTGATGTATTGTATTCTTTTTTTTTTTTTTTAATGTGTGTTAAGGCATATGTGTTTAAGGGACAATAAAGTTTGAAACTTTTTGTAGGTAGAGTAGCCTGACTGTTTCTGAGCTAAAAGTTCTGTATTTGTGGACACAGAGGTTTCTTATTGTCCAGATTAGATTTCTATATTCTGATAGTAGAATTAGCAGTTGTGTGTGGGTTTCCCTTGTGGTGTAAGGGATAGTGTTTAACATGATGGCTCTGTAAATATCTACTCTTTGTTTCGTATGCATATCAAATTTTTTTTTTTTTTTTTTTTTTTTTTTTTTTTTTTTTTTTTTTAAATGTTTATTTGTTGAAACATATTTGTACAAATCTCTTGTGAAACAAAAGCAAAATCAATAAAATGATGTGAATAAAATGATGATGATTTGTACCGTTTCTCACTGACATTTAACAGAAAATAGAGACGAAGGGAGGCAGAGAGGACCGGGCGGTTAAAGGAAAGCTGGGGCTGTTAGGTCTGTCAGCGGAAACGGTACATTTCGATGATAATGTACATGTATTTATTCAACGTGGCAAATGATGTTTCCATTAGACTCCATGTCGCCAAGCATCTTTGATTGTAGGGAGAGGAGATGACAGAAAAGGATGTGGGGGCGATAGGGGGGTGGGCCACCGCTCATTGATGCTGGTGACAAGTGTCGATGGGCTAACAAAAGCAGCTATATGAGGTGTTAAATGAAGACATGTTTGGTAAGAATTTTTTTTTTTTTTTTAAATGTACAGACACTTGTCTTTATTGTGCTTTGCAGTAATGTAACAAAAATACCAAAACAAAAAAGATGTAACAAAGTAACAGCCAGGACTGTCAACACAACAAACATTTTCAATATTGAGTGACACCTAGCTAATGAATATTAAATATTCTCACAACCAACATAAAATTGAAATCAAGATAAATAAATGGACAAATAAAATGATAAACATTGAATCTGGAGTTACAGCTGAAGAAAATTGGAATCATTTTCAGATATAAAGAAAGTCAAACGTCCATACATACACAAATGTGATAATATAAACGGGACAATGCCTCAGACACGAACTGCAAGCTGAATAATTAAAGCCTTTAAACATGTGCAGCACTTGACAGAAATAACTGGTTGTAAATTAACAAAAACTAAAGGGAAAAAAAATGGATCATGGGAACCATCACTAACAAGGGTACACTAGGCAATATCAAAATCACAGTAAAGTATAAACTGGGTGATGTAAGAATCACCAGTAAAGTATAAATGGGGTGATGTAAGAATCACCAATAAATTTTAAACTGGGAAACTGAAGCATCACTGCCAGTAAATTCCACAAAGTAACAAAATATAAACTGGATAACAAAAGAATCATCAACAAAGTGAATAAGCATTGTCAATAAAACAAACCTATCAAATCTGTTTCGTTTTCAAAGGTAAAAAAAAAAAAAAAATTAAAAAAAAAATGTCAGTAACAGATAACCTCTGCTTGAATGATCTGGAGGTAAGAACCCAAACATGTGGTGAAAGTTTGGTCTGATGTCTCAGTTCCAATGTTCATTGAGCAAGCTGCTCACCGGGGGCTTTGCTCATTTAATGTTTTAAAATACAGGACAGAGAAATCCAGCTGCTTTCAAAGGATTTTACACGTCAGTCTTCCCCAAAGTCTACTTTACAGTCTTGTCAACTGTTCAGAATTCACTCAGCCAACTTTCTGTTCAGCAGTCTCCCTAAAGGGCAATCAACAGCCTGTCAACTGTCCACTCAGTGATCTCCCTAAAGTGTACTCAGCAGTCTGCCAACTGTCCACTCAGTGATCTCCCTAAAGTGCAATCAACAGCTTGCCAACTGTGTACTCAGTAATCTCCCTTAAGTGCACTGAGCAGTCTGCCAACTGTCCACTCATAAACTCCCTAAAGTGCAATCAACAGCCTGCCCACTCTCCAACTCGTGAGATTTTGAATTGTCCAATCTCATAAATAAGTCTCCTAAAGGCCTACTTGTGAGATTCAGAAATGCCCAATCCCCTAAAGGCCTACCTATTTGTGAGGTTCAGAAATGTCCAGTCTCAGAAAGAAGTCTCCTAAGCAGCCCCCCTGAACATCCTTTAGCCCCCCCCCCCCCCCCCCCCCCCCCCCCAGAACTGTTATTAACCACAATTCCTCTACTCATTACAAAAAACCTGTCTGGAGGTTCCTGAGGTCATGACAATAATGGATGCAATAATAAATAAACAGTTGGTTGTACATTTAGCCATATGTCCTAATCACAAACAGAGAATTCCTCAACAGCACAAGATACAGCTGCATCTAGGTAACATATCCTCCCTGGGTGTCAACTGTGGACAGCCAGGCTTGATGGCAGGGACCTCTTTGCTGTGTTCACATGCAGCTGAAAAACAATTCTCTGAATATGCTACAATCAGATCACCATAACGGATACCGAATGAACATTCCATTCCAGTGAACAGATTCGGACTCCTCAAAACGTCTTGTCATAAAGTCCACTGTAGTCTGCAGCACAAACACATCCTGTTTAAGTCTATCTGCTCGTCTCTCTGTCATATTTTTCTCTGCCAGCTCAAGCTGATTAATCCTTTCCTGTATAGTGGCCAGTTTTTTCACCATCTCATCTTCAAACTGTGTCAGCGTAAGGGAGTTTGGTTCTGGTTGCACTGACTGAAAGCGCCGAGCCACCTCCAAAGTCAGCGGGCTAGAGGGGCTGGAAGGTCTATCAGCAATCTTTCCATTTAAAGGAATTAAATGTCCCTGGGTATTGCGCAACTTGAAAATGAGGTCAGCATCATTGGGTTCCAGGGCCGCTCGTATTTTGTGAGTAACTTCTGCCACACTGTCCCCTTTGCTGATGTTCAAAGAAATCACATCTGAGATTTCTGTATCATTTAAATCCAAACGTTTCACTGCCAAACAAACCGTCTCGGAGCTTTCGGCCATCTTCTATATCTGGTAGTTTCTATGGTAAGTTATGTATGTTTCCATTAGACTATAATTGATTAGTCTTCTAGTGCGTAAACATAACTGGTCAATGCATGACTGTCGTGCATATTATGAACGAAAGATGCTTGAGAAATGAGTTTTTTTTTTAAATTGAACACATATATTTAAGTCTAAAGACAAGAAAAAATTTTTGCCTTTGTAAAATACCGATTTAGAAATTCATGCTCAAGTTAAAAGGATAAAAATAATAAACCTTTTTTTTTTAAATTACAGCCAAATCTTGTTTTCATGCTAAAAATATGTGTGCATTATAAGTGGTTTCCCTTATATCTGGAAATTGTTACCTCCCCTATATTTTTTCTATTTTGGGTTATGCGAGTGGACGACACACAATAAAAAGATAATTTCGAGCAGCAGCAGCAGTAGTATTTATTATTATTATTAATATTATTATTAATATTATTATTATTATAAGTAGTAGTAGTAGTAGTAGTAGTAGTAGTAGTAGTAGTAGTAGTAGTAGTAGTAGTAGTAATAGTAGTAGTAGTAGTACATTCTACTCCATTAGGACATCACACTAGCGATAAACACGCGATGACACAAAGTGCCACCATGCGGATGAGGATCACCTCTGGAGAGGTCCCGGAGACCGCGTTTATCTATCTATCTCTTATTTCTTTTACCCCACCAGGACATCTCACTAACAATAAACACCCGATGACACAACGTGCCACCATGCGGATGATTATCACCCGTGGAGAGGTCCCAAAAACCGCGTTCAGCCATTATACCATATTAATGGCCGGGCTGTACTGCGGCTCCTGGCAAGAGTCAGAGTGGGGCTTCAAAATAACCAAAAATCGCATCCAGTAACATTAATAAGATAGTAAAAAATGATGATGACCTGGTACTCAATATTCCACCAACATTTCCAAGAAACTAGAGTAAAGCAGGAGACACCAATAGACTGCGGGTGATGACAGGAGGGGCCATTATGATTCTTTGTTGGTGGTGTTGGCTCCCTGTTATGATGGTGGTGGTGATGATATGGTTACATAGTTTATGCATTTTTTACAGACTTTAGAAAAACAAACTTTCGAGCAGTAGTAGTAATAGTACTTTTACCCCACCAGAACATTACACAAGCGATAAACACCCCATGACACAAAGTGCCACCATGTGGAGAGGTCCCAGAAACCGCGTTCAGCCACTAGACCACATTTATGGCCCGGCTATATTGAGGCCCCTGGCAAGAGCCAGGGTGGGGCTTCAAAATAACGAAAAATTGCAACCAACAAGGGGATGACTAGGGTAACTTTCGAGCAGTAGTAGTACTTTTACCCCACTAGGACATCACACAAGCGATAAATACCTGATGACACAAAGTGCCACCATGCGGATGAGAATCACCCATGGAAAGGTCCTAGAAACCACCTTTAGCCATTAGGCCATATTTATGACCGGGTTATATTGCGGTCCCTGGAAAAGAGCCAGAGTGGGGCTTCATAAAAATGAAAAATAGTATATCACACAAGGGGAAGACTGTATCGAGAATTATCAACTTTGGAGCATTAGTAATTAGGTAGCTTTTACCCCACCATGACATCACACAAGCAGTTAACACATGATGACACAAAGTGCCACCATGTGGATGAGGATCACCTGTGGAGAGGTCCCGGAAACAACGTTTAGCCATATGACCATATTTATGGCCGGGCTATATTGCGGCCCCTGGCAAAGAGCCACAGTAGGGCTTCAAATAACGAAAAATTGCAACCCAAAAAAGGATGACAAGATTATTTTCAAGCATCTATCTTCTTTTACCCCATCAGGACATTACACAAGCGATAAACACCCGATGACACAAAGTACCACCATGTGGATGAGGATCACCGTGGAGAGGTCCTAGAAACCGCATTCAGACAATTGGCCATATTTATGGCCTGCCTATATTGCGGCCCCTGGCAAAAGCCAGGGTGGGGCTTCAAATAACAAAAAATGTCGTCCTAATAAGGACGAAACTGGATTAATTATCTCCAAATAACGACTGACTGACTGACTTTCTACCCCACTAGGACATCACACAAGCGATAAACACCCGATGACACAAAGTGCCACCATGCGGATGAGGATCGCCGTGGAGAGGTCCCAGAAACCGCGTTCAGACATTTGGCCATATGTATGGCCTGCCTATATTGCGGCCCCTGGCAAAAGCCAGAGTAGGGCTTCAAATGACAAAAAATTTTGTCCTAAAAAGGACGAAACTGGATATAATAAAACATAACGAAAACTTGCGTCTCACAAGGAGATGACTATATATAATTTTTTTCGAGCACGTAAGTTTGCCATATTTAATTACTTGATTAGTCTATATAGTGCTGGATTATTGTTTAGGACCAATGGAAACAGTCCATGACGCACATTTTACAAATATCTTCTCACACACCAAAACTTTAGCAGCCACACTCAGTGTTAAAGGTATTAAATAAATCAAATCTGACACTATAGTCAAAGTTGAATTATGTCCCGTAGTTAATCGTGTGCTCTCCTCCTGATTGAACAAGGTACATAATCATAAATACTGTAATAATTTCAAGTTCGAAACTCAAGTAAAAACTGTATTCTGACAGTTGTCTTTGATTGATGTGAAATTTTACAATAAGTGATTGAGACCATTATAGAAATATATCGTATTAATTGAACAATTCTGAATTAACATCCTTTTAATATGCAACATACAAAATTATATTTTTATATTCTGTCACAATTAAATCCATTAGTCAAAACACAAAAAATTCACCTAGTAGTAATATAATAGTTAACACTACCCATGATTGAATAAGGTACATAAAAAAGATTAGGTAAAGGACACTTATCCACGCCCTTAGGAGTCTAGGGCATAGAGGGCTAGACCTATATTTTTATAGACCAACGGCACAAGATGGGTGATGTGGTCAGTATCACGCCGGCCGCCTCTACTTCCCGGGACTGCATCCGGTACCCACTCAAGGCTGGGTCGATCTGGGAGCCAAGGTAATTTTTTAAGAAAAGTCCGGCTCTGCCAGGGAGCGAACCCATGACCTTCTGATCCCCGGCGCGCGTCTAGCTGCTCCGCCATGGCGACTCGAATAAGGTACATAGCCGCGTATAATTTGGCAATTTCAAGTTCGACAATAGTGTGGCAGTGTTTACTCAAGGCCTGGTTTACATTTGGCATAGCTGTCAGAGGCCAACTTGATAAGTAAGCTTCAGTTGTGACTACTGAAAAGCTCAGAGCGTTGCCCCCACTATCACTTTTGTAATTTTTTTATGTTTTCAATCAAATTATAATAATGACATCAATATTTTTTTTAACGAAACTGATAATGCTTAACGATTGCTTCATATTTTAAAAGCGATGAATAGTGCTTAAAATGTTCAATGTGAGAAAAAAGCAGCAAACATTTGCAGTATTTACCTTAGAAAAGAATGGATCTTGATTCAGTAAAGGAACATTTCATTAGGATTTATGATCTTGCAGAATGTAATCATTATAGTCAGCAATTTAGTCCGCATAATCCACAAATTGAATTAGCTTCATATTTTTGGTAAATGCTCCAGAGATGTAGTTTTATAAACTAATGATGAGAATCTGAGAGATGCCTAATTTTTAGAGCATGTTTTGAAATGACCTTAAAATATGTATTAGTGTCCCAGAATAAATATAACAAACTGAACATACAAACATACATAGATGAGGCTACAAACAATGTTCAGAGTATAAGGCGGGCCTATAGAATTTAGACATGGTTCATCTTCCTAGTATTGATTGGACTCGGACACCAAACTGATGAGCTTAGCTTTATCTTTAAGCTCTAAGCCTGCCTGTTACACTTACAAAAAAAATATGTGGCTGTTAGATGTAATCGCTGATGCCCTGACAGTAGCTCCATCTTCCCCTAATCTCCACTTTCCTATGTTTTAATATTCGTCTTAAATTTTTAAAATTCATTTTTGATCCAGTCACACATATAGGTAATTTATTTCCGTGATGTGTATCTACCGTGCAGAGAAAGCACATATTTGAATAGTGATACTAGTGTAGGTTCAAAATATCATACGACTCGTCGCAGTTTGCTCTCTTCATTATTTCACATCCTTCGTCGCAGTTTGCTCTCTTCATTATTTCACATCCTTCGTCGCAGTTTGCTCTCTTCATTATTTCAAATCCCTCGGTTACAATATCAAAATTATTCCTGCTACTGTCTCAAATTTTAATATCCCCATACACACTTGCTTTTAATTCTAACAGCATTTATAACTGACTGCCACAACAGCTTTTACACACAGCCATTCTCTGTGAAACCCAAAACCGTGCCCTAACCGTTTGCATCGTTTTCCCAGCTAGTCGAAGTCATCTCTAAGCTATGTTATAAAATCACCTGTTTTTCTTGCATCAGTGAAATTTGTTGACTCTGTTTGGTAAACATTGTTGTTTACTCCCTGATGTTCTTAGATCACATGGCTTTCTTCTTAAGGCCTTGTCTCTCTCTCTCTCTTTCTTCCTCTTTCTCTCACACACATACCCACACCATATCTTTCAGGTGACTTTTACTTACTTACCTTTGCCTTTCAATGGAGCATATTCCCTGACCAACTCACGCCAGGACACCCTATCACTTGCTATCGCGTGCAGCTCTCCCCATGTCCTCCCCCCCTCTCCCATCTTTTGAACTTCACTCTCTAGCTACCTTCTCCATATGTATTTTGGTCTTCCTTAATGCTCTCTTCATTATTTATAAACTCTGTGGGTCGCACTGTAAACACACTCGTTTTACTGTTGTAAGATTTTCTCAACGTGTGTCTTATCCAGTGCCAGCGTTTCCAGTCTTTTTAGGAAATGTGGCCTAAATATCTGCAGACTTTGTTTCATGCAATATTCTGATGACACTGGATTCAAAAAGCTTGACTGAGCTCAGCTTGGGATGTTTGTAGTGAAAGTATGCAGAAGTATGTCA